TGGCTGCCGCGCCCGCCCCCTTGAGCGCCCCCCCTTGAGAGCCTTGAGCGCCCCTTGAGCCAAAATGGCTACGGAGAGACCAACAAAAAAAAAATGGGCGCCCTGGCGATTTCCTGAGGAAACCACTATATGTATATCCACTACGTATGTGTATATATAACGATGTCTTTTTTAACCAATATCTATCTATATTTATATAAGTAAACAATTCTGAATATATATATATTAGCGGGAGAAAAAAAAAAAAAAAAAAAAAAAAAAAAAAAAAAAAAAAAAAAAAAAAAAAAAAAAAAAAAAAAAAAAAAAAAAAAAAAAAAAAAAAAAAAAAAAAAAAAAAAACGGACACACACACACACACACACACACACACACACACACACACACACACACACACACACACACACACACACACACACACACACACACACACACAAAAAGGGCCCCGCGCGAGCGCACGTCGAAGTCGCTCGAACGCCCGCGCGCGCGCCGTCGCAATAACCCCTTGCAACAAAAAGAAGGGATACGAAGTGCGCGCGCGTCGTCGCGCGCGCATGCGGAACTCCTTCGCTTCGGAAGGATAATGCGAAACACACATGACTTCGCATCACACATGTTCAACAAAAGCGCGCGCGGGCTAGCGCGAATTCTTGCGAGAAAAAAAAAAAACCTAAGCTAATCGCCACTTTCAAAATTTTACAAAACGGGCTTCGCGCACGCATGTCGAAATCGTTCGATCGCCCTTGCGCGCATGCTGGGGTGGCGCGATCCGCGTCAAATGATTCCATTTGAGCCACTCTCGCGCGTCTGCCGCGCGAGATTGGCTCGAATTCCTTCCGAAACCTTCATCGCCGACGCAAAGAAGCCGCCATCGTCGCGCGCGCGATCGGCATCGGCGCCGTCATCGCCAAGATCACCAGCATCGCGTCTACAATTGTCGCCACCAACGTCGCCTGCATCGCCACCATCGCGCCCACAAATGTCGACGTTGCCATGACACCGCGCCCGGCCGAGCCGCCGACTCGCACTCGAGTGCCCGGTGGGATGTGCCGAGCCGTCAGTGCCACCGCGTTCGCGTCGGTCGCGCCAAACTAGCCGGCCGCCGCGCGCGCGCGGGCTGGCGCGGCCGCAGAGACGCACCAGCCAGCGCCAATCACTCATCGCAATCGCCGCCGCACGAGGTTTGCAAACCGAGTTGCGGGCGGGCGGGCGGCACGTTTGCGCGAGCAGTGAAATGGGCAACTCACTGCGAACAGAAATTCGTTGCACCGCATAGGCTGCACAGCAAAAACTGCACCGCGCAGGCTGAACAAACTAGATCACACGATATCGATTGCACAGCAAAGATTCCCCTTCCTTACAAGAGAATAGTTTCCACCACCTTCCCCACCCAGAGTTATCGCTTCCCCGGGAACTTTTGCACAACGCAGAGAATTCTGACCCCACGTCCATCATACTTGTGAATTTATACTATCGCAGCCAGACCGGCATCGGCCCCCTCTCGGATGTGTCTATCTCATTGGTTTTACCTTATATATGTATATATCTACACACACATATATATATATATATATATATGTACGCGCACACTCGTTTATCCAAAAAAACATAAGTTTGCATGAACGCATTGCAACAAAAACAATACGAAGTGCGCGCGCGCGTCGTCGCGCGCACGCGCCGGAATCCGCGTTTAAAAAACCGTCGGCTTCGGAAGGATGTCAAAATCGAGCGCCCAAGAAACATCATGACTATTTTCGTAAAAAGAGAAATGTCGAACCGCGAACGTTCAACAGAAGCGCGCGCGCGCTCTTGCGAATTCGCAAGAAAACAAAAAGTTTTCAAACATTTCATGAAATGCTATCAAGCGGGCTGTGCGCGCGGGCGCATGTCGAAATCGTTCGATCGCACTTGCGCGCGTGCTCGAGAGGCACGATCAGCGTCACATAAAACCACGCGAGCCACTCTCGCGCGTCTGCCGCGCGCGCGCCTCGAATTCCTTCCAAAACCTTCATCACCGACGCTAAGTCGACGTCATCGTCGCCGGCGCGAACAGAATCGGCGCGGCCACTGGCTGCCCCGTCGTCGCTGTCAGCATCGTCGCCCGCATCGCTACTACCATCGTCGCGTCTACCACCGTCGACGTTGCAGTGATACCGCGCCCGCCCAAGCCGCCGACTCGCACTCAAGTGCCCGCTGGGATGTGCCGAGCGGTCAGCGGAAACGCGTTCGCGTCGGTCGCGCCAAACTAGCTGGCCGCTGCGCGCGCGAGCATGCGCGGGCTGGCGCGGCCGCAGAGATGCACCAACACCCAGCACTTATCGCAATCGCCCCCACATGGGTTTGCAAACCAAGTTGCGGGCGGGCGGGCGGGGCGATTGCGCGAGCAGTGGAGTTGACACCTTCGAGTTCGGCAAGTGAATTCTCCCTTTTCTTTTATAATTTAAAAAATGTTCTACACCACCACCCCGGGGTAAAAAATCCCCTCTTCGCATTGCAATGCGCATATGATTGCGCCCCATGGCCCATCCTACATGTGAGCGCGTACTATCCCAGCCAGGCCGGCAAGCCCCCCCCCGCCATCCCTTGCACAAAAAATACTCCGCGCACAGACTCGTTTCTCCCCCCACACAAAAAAAAACATCAGTTTCCAAGAATTCTTAGGGGGGAAAAAGGACGATGCGCACACGCGCGCGTCGTCGCGCGCGCATGCCGAAATCCGTTAAAAAAAAACCTCAGTTTTCGGAAGGACCGAACTTCAACAAAACATGCGAAAAGTCCGGGTTTCGCAACACGGGATGCCTAAAAAAAGTGCACGCGCACGGCGTTGCGAAATCTTGTTTTTCCTTTTCTATGATATTAAAAACTTTCAAATCTTTCATAAGATGATACCAAACGGGCTTCGCGCGCGCGCGTCCAAATCGCTCGAACGCCCTCGCGCGCGCGCCGTCGCGAGAATCCTTTGCACAAAATACTCTGCGCGCACGCTCGTTTATCAAAAAAAACATAAATTTCCAATAATCGGTTGAAAGTGACGAAATGCACGCGCGCACGTCGTCGCGCGCGCATGCCGAATTCCTTCAAAAACCGTCGCTGTCGGAAGGATTTCAAAATCGCGTCCAAAAAACATACAAAAACATACGGTTTCGCAACATTGATGCTCAACAAAAGAATGCGCGCGCTCTTACGTCGTCGTCGTCGCTGTCCTCCCTCCTCCCTCGTCGTCGTCGTCGCCGTCGTCGTCCTCAGTGTTTCGTCGTCGTCGCCGTCGTCGTCCTCTTTGGCGTCGTCGTCGTTTCCGTCGTCGTTGTCGCCGTGGTTGTCCTTACTCCTCCCTCGTCGTCGTCGGCGTCTCGTCGCCGCCCCTCCCATTTCGCCCCCGTCGTCGTCGTCGTCGTCGTCGTTTTCCCTCCTCCCTCGTCGTTGTCGTCGTCGGCGAGGCCGTCCTCCCCCCTTCTTCGTCGTTCGCGTCGTCGCCGTCCTCCCTCCTCCGTCGTCGCCGTCGCCGTCAGCCCTCCTCCGTCGTCGTCGTCGTCGTTTTCGTTGGCGACGTCGTTGTCGTCGTTGTCGTCGTCTTCATCATCGTCGTCGTCGGCGTCGTCCTCGTCGTCGTCGGCGCCGTCGTCGTCGTCGGCGTCGTCGTCTTCGGCGTCGTCATCGTCGTCGTCGGCGTCGGCGTCGTCGTCGTCGGTGTCGTCGTCGTCGTTGTCGTCGTCGCCGAAGTCGTCGGAGTCGTCGTCGGGGTCGTCGTAGTCGTCATCGGCATCGTCGTCGCCGTTGTCGCTGTCGTCGTCGGCGCCAGTGCCGCTGCCAAGTGCCATCTGGTACCTACCGCCACGGTCTTAAAAAGTTTTGCGACCGAGTTGCGCGCGGGAGGGCGATGCGATTGCACGAGCACTGGAGAAGACAGCTTCAAGACACACAATGTGAATTGCACCGCATAGGTTGCACCACCTAGATCGCACAACACACAATACACAACATAGGTTGTGCAGAATAGGTCGCGCCGCATATCCTGCACCACAATGACCACGCCGCATGCATTGCACCGCGCGGATTGCACGACCCGCAATGTTCCACCCACATTGAACCACGGAGATTGCTAGAAACACACGGTTTGGGGCCCACCCTGGTGGACATGACGCCCCAACGGGAATCTCGAACATATCTTGCATTTTTGCGCGCGCACTTCCCCGCGATCACCCTCGGCAGCGCCGCCGCATCACCGCCGCCATCGTCGTCGCTACCCGCCGCCACTGCCGCCGCTGTCAGTAAACCACATTCATTTCCGACAAATGGACATCATCAAGGTCGTCGTCGCCACCAGCATCGGCGCCGTCTCGGGCTCGCCGTCGTCATCGCCACAGTTGCCGCCAACATCATTCATATCATCATCGTTGCCGCTATTGCCGACGTCGTCATGATACCGCGCCCGCCCGAATCATCAGCCCACAGCGAAGTTCCCACACGCCGGCGCGGCCTTGGAAACGAGCGGGAAGTTCCCATCGGCAAGCGCCATCGCGACCGCATCGGCTGCGCCAAACCAACTGGCACGCTCGGCGCGCGAGCTTGCGAACGCTAGCGCAGCCGCAAAGATGCGCCAGCCGGCGCCAAGTAATCACCGCCATCGCGGCCGCATCGGTTGCGCAAAACAAACAGATTGCGGGCGGGGGCGGGGGCGATTGCGCGAGCGGCGGAGTTGACGACTTCAAGCTCTGCAAAGTTTTTTCTGGGGGGGGCCTCAGGGGGGCCCCGGGGGGCTTCCGCGGGGCGCCGGCGAAAAGCTATCGGAAGACGGCGAGCGCCTAAAACGGCCGGCGGCGAGAAATCTACTACTGGACCACGCGGGGAGCAGCGACGCACCTCAGAAGATGTACCTCAGAAGATGAACCAAGGGTAGCAGCGGCAACAACGACGAGCAGAGCCTCGATGAAAGGACCTCCAAACGCGGAACACGCCCACGACGGAGCGGCGGGCAATGGCGAGCAGAGCCTTGCAGGAAGGACCTCCGACCACAAAGATGCCCACGGAGCGGCCGGCAATGACGAACTGAGCCTCGTGGAAGGACCTCCGAACGCGAACGCGCCGATGCAGGGGCGGCCGAGACTGACGAAATGAGCCTTGCAGAAAGAACCTCCGAACGAATGCCTGACCAGAGAAGAGCATGGTGAGTGCCAGAAGTCCTCGGGAGGACACATTTAGATAGTGTAGGTGACGCCGAAGTGCCCCGATAACTGACAGCACCCTGCGCATGGACGGCGCCGCCGCCTCGGCGACGGGGCGCGAGCACACGGGAGGCGCGATCAGCGGAGCTCGGGGCGGTCGCCAAAAAACATCATGCCGAGGCGCGTCAAGCAGACGAACCCGTGAATTCAGAGATGCCGCTGCGGGTACGCATTGCCTGCGCAGCCGCTGCGTGCGCCACCCCTCGTCGCAGCAGCAAGCGATCCCGTCGGTCCGTGCCCCTGCGCTGCAGGCGCTCCGCGCCGTGGTCTAGTCGTTCCAGAATGGTGCGGGCCTCCACCCCGCCCTCGTTCCATGTCCTGATATTCGCCAACACGGCTAGGTATTCCGCGCTGCACTGCTGCTGCGAGCGCGAAGGGCCCGACGGGCCAGACGACGCAGAGGTGTAGCTCGCGACGGCCTGCGCTCGGGGCCCGGCGCCGGGCCGGGCGACGGGCAGGGCGCTGGCCGAGGCGCCGCGCTGGCAGCCGGGCGGGGCGCCGGCCTCCCAGCCGGGCAGAGCGCTGGGCTGGGCACCGGCCGCGCAGCCGGGCAGGGCGCCGGGCTGGGCGTCCGCGGGGGCGCTGGGCTCGCAGCCGGGCAGCGCGCCGGGCAGCGTCGCTGGGCAGGCTGCCGGGCAGGGCGCCAGCCTCGCTGCAGGGCAGGGTGCCGGGCTGGGCGTCGGCCGGGGCGCCCGGCGTGCAGCCGTGCAAGGCGCCAGGCTGGTAGCCGGGTAGGGCGCTGGGCCGGTCGGCCGGGGCGCCGGGCTGGCAACCGAGCAGGGCGTCGGGCTGGGCGTCGCCAGAGGCGCTGGGTTGGCAGCCGGGCAGGGCGCTGGGCTGCGCGCCGGGCAGAGCGCCAGGCTGGGCGTCAGCGGGGGCGCCGGGCTCGCAGCCGGGCAGGGCGCCGAGCTGGGCGTCGGCTGGGGCGCCGGACTGCTGGTAGCTGGGCACGGCGTCGGGCTTGCAGCCGGGCTGGGCGTCGCTGGGCAGACAGCCAAGCAGGGCGCCAGCCTCGCCGCAGGGCAGGGTGCCGGGCTGGACGTCGGCCAGGGCGCCCGGCGTGCAGCCGCGCAGGGCGCCGGGCTGGTAGCCGGGCAGGGCGCTGGGCCGAGCGTCGGCCGGGGTGCTGAGCTGGCAGCCGAGCAGGGCGCGGGGCTGGGCGTCGCCGGGGGCGCTGGGTTGGCAGCCAGGCAGGGCGCCGGGCTGCGCGCCGGGCAGGGCGCCAGCCTGGTGGGCGTCAGCGGGGGCGCCGTGCTCGCAGCCGGGCTGGGCGCCGAGCTGGGCGTCGGCTGGGGCGCCAGGCTGCTGGTCGCCGGGCAGGGCGTCGCTGATCGAGCAGGCAGGTAGGCCTGGCAGAGCGCCAGCCTCGCTGCAGGGCAGGGTGCTGGGCTGGGCGTCGGCTGGGGCGCCCGGCGCGCCGCCGCGCAGGGCGCCGGGCTGGTAGCCGGGTAGGGCGCTGGGCCGGTCGGCCGGGGCGCCGGGCTGGCAGCAAGGCAGGGCGTCGGGCTGGGCGTCGCTGCGGGCGCTGGGTTGGCAGCCGGGCAGGGCGCTGGGCTGCGCGCCGGGCAGGGCGCCAGGCTGAGCGTCAGCGGGGGCGCCGTGCTCGCAGCCGGGCAGGGCGCCGAGCTGGGCGTCGGCTGGGGCGCCAGGCTGCTGGTAGCACGGCAGGGCGCCGGGCTTGCAGCCGGGCTAGGCGTCGCTGGGCAGACAGCCAAGCAGGGCGCCAGCCACGCCGCAGGGCAGGGTGCTGGGCTGGGCGTCGGCCGGGGCGCCCGGCGAGCAGCCGCGCAGGGCGCCGGGCTGGTAGCCGGGCAGGGCGCTGGGCCGAGCGTCAGCCGGGGCGCCGGGCTGGCAGCCGAGCAGGGCGTCGGGCTGGGCGTCGCCGGGGGCGCCGTGCTCCCAGCCTGGCAAGGCGCTGGGCTGGGCGTCGGCCGGGGCGCCTGGCTGCTGGTAGCTGGGCAGGGCGTCGGGCTCGCAGCCGGGCTGGACTCCGGGCTGGCAGCCAGGCAGGGCGTTGGGCCGCGCGTCGGTCGGGGCGGCGGTCGTGCAGCGGGGCAGGGCGCCGGGCTGGCCGCTGGGCAGGGCGCTGGGCCGAGCGTCGGCCGGGGCGCCTGGCTGGCAGCTGGGCAGGGCGTCGGGCTGGGCCCCGGGCAGGGAGCCCGGCTGGGCGTCTGCGGGGGCGCCAGGTTCGCCGCAGCCGGGCGTCCCGGCCGACGCCTGGGCGCCCTCCGCGCCGAGCGGGGCGCCGAGCCGCAGGCGAAGGGGGAAGACTTCGAACCAGGGATCCGCCCGGGGCGGCGAGGTACCTTTCCAGGAGGCCGATGGGAACCAGGGCGTCATGATACCAAGCTTGCAGCAAATCGCCCCCGAAAGGAGCGTGCTCCTGCCGTGTCTGCTCATGAGCATCATCATCACCAACATCATCCACGGCGAGGTCGAAGCTTCTGGGGTTGCCTATGCCAGCGGCGGCGAGCCCATCTCCTCGTCCAGGGCGTCCGGCTGCGAGGCCAGCTCCTCGTCCGGGGGGTCCCAGTTCGGCACGAAGTACAGATCCGCCTCCAGTGGCGTCGGGGGTCTCGAGCTCTGCGCCGCTTCGGGCCAACTTCGGCGCCGGGCACCAGCGTACCACGTCGTCCGCGTACACTGTCACCCGCGGGGCCGGGCTGGGCTCTGGGTGGAGAGCCGGGCCGGCAGCCGAGGCGGAGGCCCTGTCGGTGACCGTCGCTGGGCAACGCGTCGGATCGGGCAGCTGACCCAGAGCCGTACTCGAAGGCTGACTGGGTGCCGGGGAGGGCGCCTGGAATTGTTGCGCACGAATCTCCCGCTTCGTCTGTTCGATCTGTGCCGTCAGCAATTGGGCATGGAGTCGCGAGGCCTCTGCCTCCATTGCCGTCAGCATGCTGCTGGAGAGTCGCTTCGCGTGGAGCCTCACTCGTGCCCTCGCCTCCGCCAGCTGCAACTCCAGAACGGCGACGTTCGCCTGAGTCCCCGGAGTCGCCTCCCGAGCCGCGGGAGGCCGCAGCGGCTCGCGCCTCGGCCCTCCCGAATCGCTGGGCCGCCGTGGAGAGACCACGACTCTCTGCACCGCCGGTGTCTCCAGCACGCCGATGACCACCTCCCCTGCGGCGGCGCGCCATGATGCCATGCCAGGCTCGAGGCTACTGCAGGGCGCAGGCGGGCGGCCAGGACGGCTCGAGCCGAGATGGCTTGAGACAGCAAGCTCTGCAAAGTTTGCTCCGCTTACATTGTACCACCTAGCTTACACCACTCAGCTCACGACACCTATGTTGTAACACCAAATGTTGCACCGACACCTTACACCACATGCATGATACCACAGTTATCCCTTTTTCAAACAGAAGTTCGCATCCAAATCTTCATCCCCCAAATCCAGATTTAGCGCCCCCCTTGAGACACTACATAGGCACATCGTTCAACATTCATTTGAACCCATAACATCCCAGGCAGGTCGGGCATCAAGACTCCCACCCCGTTCGAATATTACGATGCGCGCACACCCTCGTGTCTCGAAAATATTTCTTCAGGAATCCCACGCAAGAAGAAATCAACACCCGTTCGCACTTGTCGGAACCATGCAACATGCATCGATATGCAAGCAGCTCAGCGTAAGAAAATCAAAGGAGTATGTCTCCACCAAAAAATGCAAAGCCGCTGTCCGCACGCACTCGCTCAAAGCATCGGGGGGAAAAATGATCCTAGCAAGTTCGCCCAAAAGCCGCGTCCTCATTTCACCACGCGGCACATCTGCGTTGATCTAGCATGCGCCCATTGCACGAATCCGCATGAAATTCGCCGGCCCAATGGGCCAGAGGCGTGCTAAGATCTCTGGTAACTGGTTAACAATATTTCTAGTTCGCGCGCGCGGGGCGGCCCCTGGGGGTCCCCCGGCGAAAAATACCCCAACCGCCGCCCGACCTCAGCCCGGCAACTGCTACTCAGATATGGTTTTCCTCCTGGGTGTGGCTTCTCAGGCCCCCCAGAGCGCGCCAAGAGTGCATCAAGAGGCCCCCAAGACTGCCCAAGAGGCCCCCGACACGCCCAAAGAGCGCTCCAAGACGCCGATGATGGCCCCAAGACGGCCCAAGAGGCCTCCAAGTGGCCTCCAAGAGGCCTCACAAGAGGGCCCCGAGAGGCCAAAATCATACATTTTACTATGGTTTTGGAAGGATTTTGGCCTTGTCGCCTTTTCTGCCATCCGATGCTCCAAGACGGCCCAAGGGGCCCACAAGAGCGCCCCAAGACGGGCCAAGAGGCTTCCAAGAGGGCCCAAGAGGGCCCAAGAGGGCCCAAGAGGGCCCCGAGACGGCCCAAGAGGCGCCCAAGACGGCCCAAGACAGCCCCAAGACGGCCCCAGGAGGGGCCCAAGAGGGGCCCAAGAGTGGGACCAAGAACCGAAAGCTCGAGCCTTCCGGCCCAAGAGGGTCCCAGGAGGCCCCGAGAGGCCCCCAAGAGGCCCCAAGATGCCGCCAAGAGGCCCCCAAGAGGCCCCAGGAGGCCCCCAGGAGGCCCAAAAGAGGCCCCAAGAGGCCCCAGAAGGCTTCAAAAATGCCTCCCAGGCGCCCCCGAACGGCTTCTCAAAAGACCCCGAGAGGCCTCCCACCGAAGCATCTTGACGACGACCCTGTTTGGCCCCAAGAGCAACAAGATGCCAACGAGAGGTTTCCTCCTCCGCCCCTTCCTCTTCCTCCTCCTCCTCCTCCTCCTCCTCCTCCTCCTCCTCCTCCTCATCATCATCATCATCATCATCATCATCATCATCC